CCCCAAAACCCCAAAACCCCAAAACCCCAAAACCCCTTACATACATTTTTAAATTGATTTATGCATTATTGGTTAGTTCTGGGTATGAAGGAATACTCTGGCATATTTTCTCTACTCATGGCCATTGGATTCTGCCATGATCTCTCATTCTGCATTGTGTGTATAGTATGCATCTCGTTCCGCGTCTGATGGTTAGAACGGCTTTGGTGACCTTCTTGGTTGACCATCTGAGGCCCAGAGATACTCCCGAAAGAATCTCCATTTGGTTTTTTAAACTCCTCCATGCTCCTTTGAGATGGATGTGAGTTGTTTGAAACTTTTGAGAAACTTGGAGATGGAGCATTTAAATCAACACTTTGATGAGAATTCGATGTGCTGATTCTGACTGGTTGAAGCTCAATAGGATTTTCTTTAGTACCTTGAGGAACCTTCATGCCTTCTCCAAAAATTGGAGGTCCCCTTGCGAAATCATGGGATGCAATGAACTCTCTATGGTGCTGAGGAGGAAAATCATTAGCGATATTGAAATCTTCAGATTGGTTGACAACTTCTTGTCTCTGTGGCCTTGGATGAGTATTAATTCTCTCTTCTTGTGCTCCAAAAAGAGATTCCTGGAAGTTCATTTTTCTCATCAGTCTCTCATTAGCTACCTTATTTTCTTCCTCGAGATGCTTAATCTTTGATTTAAGAGATTCGATAGTATAATCTTTCTCTTGTGCCATTGTGGAGAGTCTATTTTGGAATGACTTCTCGCAAGCTGCTAGCTCCTCCTGCATCTTCTCAAGTCTTTGTAACTGGAGCTGATTTGACCCATTCAGTTGTTCAATCTTGAGGTTTAGAGACTGAATATTTTGATCCTTTATTAGCAGCTCATTTTGTAGTTTGTGAGTTACATTATTTATCTCACTCTCTTTCAGTTTTGTATGTGTAGCTAGATCTGTTCTTAAACCAATTAAGTCATTCTCGTGTTCCTTTATTCTAGTAATCAATCTTTCATTGTCACTCTTCAACGCTTGGTTGGTAGAGTCAATATTCTTCACTTTCAGCAGGGCTTCATTGACCGTTCTTTCTGTATCAATATTTTTAGTCTGAGATAAGGTCTGGTAAGATTCCTTTTCCATAAGAATTTCACGTTTCAACGTAGCTATTTCATGGTCCTTCTCCTCCATAGCTCTTCTTACCTCCTTCAGCTCTTTAGAAAGTTGAAAATTGTCATCTTCAGCTTTGATATTGTTTTTCTGGTTCTTTTGAAACTGCTTGTATTTCTCCTTATAACTCTCTCTTTCACTCTGTACTAGCTGTGCATAAGTTCTAATTCTCTTTTCCACAATCTGAAGTCGCTTAAAATAACTCTGAAGGGCGTATAGGCTGTCTTCTACTCTTTCTTCGTTGGCTCTGGTCTCTTGGTCATGCTTGGTCAAGATTTCCTTGACTTGTTTAAAGAGAGTTGCTTTATAATTCTTCATAATTTGCTCGTACTCGTTAGGCGCATTATCCATTTCGTACTGTCAAGCTTCTAGTTCTTTCTGGCTTTTCTGGAGGAGGTAGCCCATCTGGTCTATGTCATCTGCTAGCTTCTTGTTTTCAGACTCTAGGAGTTTGGACTTCTGTATGTTGAGTAGGTCACTTTTCTTGTTCTCGAACAAAAGCTCGAATACCTTGTTTCGCCAGACTTTGAGTAATTCAGGGACGAGGTTAGAGGATTTCTTCTTGATAAATTCCTCTTGGATGGCGATTATTTCTTTTAAGGAATCCTTAGCGGGGTTTGTAGTGGTGTCTATGTTTTTGGAGTTGATGAAAGAGAAAAGGCCTGACTTTTCAACATCTTTTTGGTCATTATTTTGACGCTCTAGAGTAATTAGAGGAGCTTTTAAGTCTTGTCCAAGGCTGTAATTCATACTTTGATGTTCCTTCTGCATCTTGTGACTCTCTGCACGACTGACGTCAACAAGAGAGGGTAGATCAGAAATGTGCCTTTTGTGCTCTTCTGGAATATTACTCAAAGAAGTATTTTTAAAAGGAGCCTGAATTTCTGTAGATTTTTCGATAGATTTTGGCGGAATCTTGGTCTTCAGAAATTTACCAATGACGTCTTCTATCTGCTTGCGATTCTTGCTGCGCTCTCGGATGGCAGCCTCATTTTTAATCACTGGGATTTTGTCAAGCATTTTAAGATTTGGAAGGAAATGTAAAACTTGTTCTCGATAATCATCAAGATCACAAACAGGGTTTCCAGTCAGATCTAACTCTTTAAGACTGATATTGACCTTAAATCGCTGGATCTCTTCAATCTCTGCAATTTCGTTATCAGCCAAATTGAGTACCTCTAGAGCTGTCAGCCTGCTGATTCCTTCACAAGTCTTAATACAGTTATTAGATAAATTTAACTCAGTCAATTTTGAGTTTCCATTTAGTCCAGTCAGAGAGCCAATTTTATTACTCGAGATATTTAGTCTCTCCAAACTAGATAGCAATTCCAAGTGCTCAATCTTTTCAATATTGTGGGTTGACAGGTTCAATGTCTTCAGGTTTGGTTTCCTATTCCTGATCTCCTCCATCATCTCTTTATTGATTCTGTCGAATTGCATATTTTTAAATTAAATTTTAAATAAATTGGGGTTTTGGGGTTTTGGGGTTTTGGGG